GCGGCGGCCTCCTCGGGGAGCCGGAGTCGCATGTTCGCTCCCCGCGGAGCGGGGGCGGCGGCGCTCGGAGCGGGACGCGGAGGAACCGCGGCGGCGCGACCGGGCCGGGCCCGACTGCTCCGCTCGGGGCCGAACTCAACTGTGGGCAGGAGCCAGCCCCGCGCAGGGCACCATGGGACACGCCCGACGCCGTTACGCACGGCGCGCCCCTGACGTCCCTCCGCACGCAGCAGCAGACGCGGACTGCGCATGCGCGGCGGGCACCGTGACGGGAGGTGGGGGGGTCGGGGTGGTCGCGCGTGCGCGGGTGGCGGCGCGGCGGGGTCGGACGGGGGACTGAAGGAGCGCGGCGGGGGTCGGATCCGGAGCGCCGCTGTGCTGCGGTTCTGTCTCCGGCCGCGGTCTAAACGGAGCCGGTGCTCCGGGGCGGCCTTATGGAGAGAACGGCCGACGGGCGTCCGAAGCGATGCGAGGGCTGGGACGGGACGGAGCGGCCGCAGCCCGAGCGGAGCGGTGCGGAAGGGAGCGCGGCTCCGTCCTCATCTTCATCGGGCGCGGAAACAACCCGCGCCTCTTCACGCGGCCGCTCCTCGGCGGTTCCGCCCCGCGCGCTGTTTTGCGACTTCGCTTTCTGCTCGCGGTGCGGCACGGCGGCCGTCAGCGGGAAAAGCTGGCCGTGCCCCCGAAGGAGCCGCCGGCCCGGAGCTCAGCGCGGCTCCGGCATCGCCCGCCCCGCCCCGCCCCCACTCTCGGACGGAGAGCCGCAACGCGGAGCTGCGGACGGGGCCGCCCCACTGGGCAGCGCTACTATTGCTAATACACATGGGCTCAAATATAAAAACCACAGAAATCGCATGCAAGATGTGAATTAAGGTTAAATTTAAAAGTATTTCCGCGCAGCACAAACCCAGCTGAAGGACTCTCTTATCCGTGTATTCTACGTTCATTACTAGGGAAGGTCACCGGCCCCAAACACTGATTTAACATTAAAGAATAGCACAAAAAGCTGGGTTTGCAAGTTACTGGAAGTTACAACCTAATTAAAATCTCTCAAAAAAACACCAATATTGAATTAATTTCTCCTTACTGGAATAAACACAACATTAAATTTACCCTTAAATAGAACTTTTTTATTCAACCAAATTCAAAATGATTCCAAAACTTCCTCAGGATTACAGATATTTTTCTGTTCAAAGTCCCTTATGTATTGCTTAGGAAAAAAAACCTTATATTGAAATTTGTATCTAAACATGAATTTATTGGGAGAAAAAAAGTGAGAATCCTTTTTTGAGGTGTCCGTATCTACTTCTCCAAAGAAAAATGGAATTGTGAGGGAAAATGACTTCTTTTTTCCAAGTTACATCAATACTTTACTCAGCTTCACAATAATGAAGTGACTTCCACGCGACCCACAGTGCAGTGACAGCAGGGATGGAGCGAGGACGGCGCAGAGCTGCACGGCTGTGGCTTTCAGTCAGCTGCAATGTGCTGCACATCAGGCACCCAATGCTGAGCAACACAATTTCAAGTTGGCTTTTTTTTTTTTTTTTTTCCTTTTTCTCCTCCCAGTGAAGTTGAAATTATTTTACTTTGAAGCCTTTGGCTCAGGGGCTGGGAGGCTCCCCGCCCTGCAGCACGCAGCCCTGCACTCCCCCCACGTTATGCAGCCGGGGGGGGTTGGGGGGAGCTGTGTGCTGTGCTGCTCCATGGAAAGAACCTGCCACAACCCCAGGGCTGTATGTGGAAAGCATTATAATCTTTTACTTGATAGAAAAGTTATGTTTGCAGCCAAAAGTCTCTTCCAGGTTACCAGATGTGTTTGTGGATGACTTTCAAGATCCAAATAACCTGGTGGATGCAACAGAAAAAGAGCAGATGAGAGACCTATAGCATAACAGCCACACCAGCACTGCAGCTTAGAACACCACTGCACCGCTGCTATTGGTTTTCCTCTGCCATACATTGGGCCGAAGGGCTACAGCAGCAAAAAGAAAACAGGAATTTTGCCAGTCTGCCTATCTGAACTACAATCCAGAGTTTCCAGAGCCTGTTCTCATGGCTCGCTTTATTATGTGGCATTATTTCCCTCCCCAAATGAAAATCATCCTAAAGTTTACACTGTGTTGCGTTTATAGGCGCTGAATTAAATGATGTCATATCCAAGCCTAAAACAATTGCACACTGTCAAGAGGTTCTCATGCACTAAAGGTGCCTGCACTGGCAGAACATGAGGTGAGCCACTATTTTTAGGAAGATCAAAGCAGATGAGCAAAATGAGAGCCTAGTGATGGAACAAGAGTGCGAGGAGTTGGGAGAGAGATCAGAAAAGAAATACACTTACAAGAAAAAACCAACATTATGTGGCTTCAGACGAACAAATGCCAGGTGCTGCACGGCTCTACTTACACAATCATGCAGAACATCATGAAGACATTCCACAAGGCAATGAAGATTCGGAAATACCTAAGACTCAGCAAGAACTCCCTGATATTGTCACCTAAAAGCCAAGAGGAGAAATCTTAGACTTGAAAAATACCCAACGCCGCAGCGTGTCGCGTTTCAGCACTAGCTAAGAAATATAAGGGAACGCAGACGTACAAAAAGAGTCAGAGAACAAAATTCACGCACGGAGGGCACTGCAGAGCCGCCCGGCGCCGCCCCAAGGCCTCGCAGCCGCCAATCCCCCCCCCCCCCCCCCCCCCCCCCACGGGCTGTTACCGGTCGTGGGCTCCCTCGCCCCCTCGCCGAAGCCCTCCGTGTCTCTCCTCCTCCTGCGGGAACAGAAGCGCCGTTACCGCGCGAAGCGCCGGGCCCGGGGCTCCCGGGGCTCCTACGCCGCCCTCCCCGCCCCGATCCCCGCTCACAGTCTGAAGTTCAGCACGGCGCCGGCGTTCACCAGTAGCGTTCTGAGGAGAGACAGAGAGAGCGCATCAGACGCGGCCGGTCCCCAGCAGCCCTCCCCGCCCCCGGGCCCGGCCCGCTACCCGCAGAGCAGCAGATCGCCCAGCATGGCGGCGGTCCTGGCGCCGGAAGCGGAAGAGGCGGGCACACTGCCCGCGGTCTCGGCGCATGCGCGGTCCCGGCGCGCACCTCCCACAGCCGGCTCCGAAGCGCCCGCGCCGAACTCGGGGCTGCGGCTTTGCGTTCCGAGGGCGGCTGCACGGCGCAGCGGGGAACCGCGCGGGCGGGAAGCGCCGCTCCTTGAGGGGCCGCCGCCCGGAGCTCGAGGCCGCCCGCTAGGAGCGTAGGCCGCGCCCCGGGACAACCCTCGGGGCGGGGCGGCCGTGCGGAGGCGGGGAGCGGGGAGAGCGGCGGGGAGCGCGGCTCGCGGAGCGGTCCTACGGCCATGGAGCTGCCCGGGGCTCTGCAGCTGGGCGAGCTGGCGGCCGCCTTCGCTTCGGTGCCCGTCTTCCCGCTCTTCGACGCGGCTTACTTCATCGTGTCCGTCCTCTACCTCAAGTACGAGCCAGGTCAGTGCGGACCAGCGCTGCGGGGCGCGGGGGGATCCGCCAGAGCTGCCACAGCCGCGCCTTCTGCCCGTGCCGGGTTCCGACCGCCCCGTGCCGGGTTCTGACCGCCCCGTGCCGAGCTCCCGTCGCCGCTGCTCTGCCCGCGCTCGGTGTTCCGTTTCTCTCCATTGTCGCCTGTTCTATTTCTGTGGCCGCGCTACCCTATTTATATTCGGAGAAGCCGCAGCTGAACGCTCGTCTTGTGTTCCTCGTTCGTCCCCCCTTGGTCCCGCTCTCGCTGCTCGCAGCTCTCCGTGCCCGGGTGGCTGCCGCCGGCTCTGCCGCCTGTCTGTGCCTCGGTCCCCGCCGAACGCCGCCTTCCCCGCTGTTTTTACACGGTGTGCGCTCTCTGTGCTCTGTCGATCGGTTTCGGTGTTGCTGCCCGCCGGATGAGGCAAAGCCACCCGCTGTGCCACGTTTTGGAGTCCCCCCGTTGTCAGATTGCTGCGCTGTACAAGCAGCAGCATACTGTTCTATTTCAGCTCCCTGTAAACAGGAGTGCCGGGTTTTCGAGGCCTGATCCCTTACAGCTGTCTTCCAGCATTAAGTTCTGAGCCGTGCAGTAACAGCCAACCCCAGTGAAGATATTTTCTCTTCCAAACATGTCACCCCATAATCCCCTCAGACTGCCTAAGGCTGCAGTGAGCTTCTCGCCTGGCTCCCACATGGCAGATGAGGGTCAGGGTGGTAACGTCCCCTTTCCTTCTTAGAAGACAGCGAGGCTTAATGGAGCTGAAGAAAAATGTCCATAACTTTCCTCCTTCAGATAACTGTTGGGTTCCTATAGATGAGCTTCACATCATGGCTGTTGCAGCTGTCTCACTTCCACTGTCCCTTCAGCTGGTTCAGACGTCGGTGGGGATGGAATGGTATCAGCAGTCCTATTTAGCTCACTTACTGCTGCTCAAGGTGGATGACTGTCCGTAATGTGGATGTAACATTTCAGCATTATTTATCTGCCCGTTACTGGTGTAGCAGAGTTTGGTATCTGATATGCTGCATAAAGGACCCTGCTATCAGTTTAAGGAGATGAAACAATCTTACAGAACTGATGTTCTTATGAAACTTCCTCCAAGAAGCACAGCAGGGGGTGAAAATGGGAGAGGAATCAAACAGCAAGCAAAGCCCCTAGGCAGTGGGAGGCTGTGGAAGAAACCACACTGTATTCCCCAACAGTAACACAGTTTAAATACCTAGTTGTATTTTCTGAACTTGAAGGGTATTTGCAAACCACCACAGTACCAGTGAGGAATCCTCCAATCCCCTTCATTTATATAAAGATTAAGAATTACTGTTCTATTTTACAGGTTATCTTATGAATGCAAGAGCTGAACAGATTGCTCATGAATTCTAGAGGGCACCTAGGTTGAAGCAATGGAGAAAATGGTACTAGTATGCATTTTGTTTTAAGACTGAAAAAAATAGCATTTATTTTGAGGGCAGAATTGTTCTTTCTGATTGCAGTAGGAGCAGCAAACGCAGGAGCTAAACTTCTAATGGCTCCATTCATATGAAACCTTGTAGGGGTCTGCAGGCTGTGAGCACAGACCGTGTCTCAACTATCTGATGCTTGCTTAGGCTTTGCAGAGTGTGTGTTTGGCCATTTTATTTTACAAGCCCTTTTCTTTGACTCAATTCCTGTTGGAGCACGTTGAAAGCAAGAGTCTTTCTTAGCTCTTTGGTGAATGCACCTTCTCACTTAAAATTTACTCACAGGAGCTGTGGAGATGTCTCGCAAGAGTCCTTTTGCCTCCTGGCTTTGTGCCATGCTCCACTGCTTTGGAAGTTACATCCTCGCTGATCTGCTGCTTGGAGAGTCACCTATTCATTACTTCAGTAACAACTCCAGTGTCATCCTGGCCACAGCAGTGTGGTGAGTTCTCCTCAGCTGCCGAGCACTCAATACTGCTGGCTGTGTGCAGGACCTCCCTGCATGAAGGGAGGTATTCCATCTGTGGGACACGTGTACTGTCTTGTTTGGATTTGCTGGGGAAAGCAGAGGTGCAATGAAGCAGTCTGAGTCTTTTGTATTTCTAGATCTAGTTTGCAGTTTCTCTGACCAGCTGTCTGATGTGTTGGTAATAGGAGTGGGAACCAACCCCCTGCAGGACGATTCTATTCATAGCTGCCACAGCTGAACTGTGGCCAAACCACAGAATCAGCGTGCTGCACTGACAGCACACAGCAGAAGGGTGGCACGGACTGAAGATTTGGGGACACTTTCATTTTGGGTGCTTGTAGGTGACCTAACCAGCATTTCCTTTTCTCTGACATAACTTAGGCTAACTATACAGTACTCTTTATCTTCTCTCTTAATCCCAGGTCAAGATAAGCAAATGGGTCCTTAAGCTCCTTGTGGTTTTGTTCCAGGTATTTGATATTCTTCTGCCCCATGAACCTCTTCTACAAGTGTGTTAGCTTTCTGCCTGTGAAGCTCATCTTTGTGGCTATGAAGGAGGTGGTCAGAGTTCGCAAAATTGCGGCCGGCGTCCACCATGCTCATCACCAGTACCACCACGGCTGGTTCATCATGATGGCCACTGGATGGGTCAAAGGTGACACCTCCACTGCACCTACTGCTGTGGGGAGGGAGGGGAGAACCTGCAAATGGAGCCTAAGGTCACCACATCACTCAGCGCTGACCAGGCCAGATAGTGGATGTGTTCAGCTGGCCCCAGTTAATCACATTCCTTAGAACAGAGATTTATTCATACTCACAGAATGGCTGTCAACTGAGTCATCGGAGACATGAAGAACTGGGAGTCACTTACGGGTGCAGAGTTCAGTAACTCTTTATCATCTCCCATGTTCTACTGTCTCTGTCCTTGCCTGTGTCTTTTTAGGAAGTTCTTTCAGTGTTGAAACAGTCTAGTCAGTTTCCCCTTGTTTTGTAATTGCAGTAAGCATTTGTGCATCAGTTGCTGGAACAGAGGCGAATGCCTTTTTCCAGTATCAGGAAACACTATAGAGCTCTAGAAAGCATTTGCCTGCTCTGTTGTTTTAGGGTAACTTTATTTTAATTTTGGGGTGGATGTCACAAACCTTCCCTTTATATTGTGCTTATCCTGTGGGGATCTAAAGGAGCCAGCAGAGCTCTCTTCTGGTGTGGCAGTTCTAGCTGTTTGCTTTTACTGTTCCACAGGTTCTGGTGTTGCTTTGATGTCTAACTTTGAGCAACTGCTGCGTGGGGTCTGGAAGCCAGAAACAAATGAAATTCTTCACATGTCTTTGTAAGTAACTAGCCTGCATGTTCTGTGTCAGACTGAAAACGAAATTTGAAGAGCCATTCGGGACTGGACACAAAGTATACAAACCTTCTAGATAAGTTCTTTATTTCTCTTCTAGCCCTACAAAAGCCAGTCTGTATGGCACAGTTCTTTTCACTTTGCAACAAACTCATTGGCTCCCTGTCTCTGAAGCCAACCTCATCTTCTTTTTCACCATGTTTATGATAGTTTGCAAGGTAAGTTTACAGCAGATCTGCTGCTAACAAATCTACAGAACCAGAGAAAGGGTACAGAATTAAGAGGGGGCTGACTGTTCACCATTTTAAATTGAAACACTGACTTTGAAATGCTGCTTCCTTTCTTGTTCAGTGGGTTCTGGTGATCCTAATTTTCCTTGTAGATGCCAGTGTTTGCCCATGCAGAATTCTTGCATGATTAACTTCACAATGAAATGAAAACCTGGAAGTGTTATCTTCAGGAGAGCTAGTGCTGAGAATGAAGTACTCTGCAGAGCATTAATGAGATACTAGGACTAATTCTTGCATCTAGATTTGATAACCTTACTAAGCCACTTTGGAAGGCACTGGCTGTACGTACCAGGAAAGATCTGCTTAAGAAATTGCAGGCTAAATTCTCCATGTTATTTTCAGTGTGGTAGAAGATCCTTGTGATACAGCCTTGGATTACATAGCAACAGGGACACTTACCTGTGCTAAGTAGGATGTCCTTTACTAGTTAGTTCTTCATAGCTGGTGTATGTGGTCTTTAACTCTGTCCACTGTTGCATGGCAGGTTTTCATGACGGCAACTCATTCTCACGCCTCACCTTTTGCTCCAGTGGAAAGCTTCATCTGCCCAGTTTTCTTTGGCTCTGTTTCTGGCGGACACACCGGCCATCATAATCAGCATGGGCACTCCCACGAGGCTTCCTATCAGCCACCTCCTCCTGTGAAGTCAAAAGAGGAGCTAAATGAAGGCACAAGGAAACGAAAAGCAAAAAAAGCTGAATAAAAAAGCAACCAAACAGTAAACAGGCCAAGAAAATTCCTCCAGAGCTGTGTCTCAAAGCCGCCTGCAGTCTCCTTTATCCTCCAGTCCTCTCACGGACTTCAGAGGAGAGGTGGAAGTGAAGACACTGCCAGGCAATTCCCTGAATTTCAGTTGTGCTCTCTGTGCTGCTCCTTGCTTCTTGGTCTCTATCTCTCTATTCTGATCATATTTTCAGGGATTTATAGATTTGTGCCAGGATGATAAATGGGTGCCAGTTCCCAGCTGGCAATTATGTCAGCAATTATGATGCATCATCTTTCACTGTGTTTATTTATGAATGGAAGTATGGTTTGTGCTCCCACAACTGTTCCTGTGAGTTTTCATTGGCCTTTTTGATGTCCCCCAGAACAACAAACTGTTTAGACACAATCAGTGTGGAAATTGGATTTCATGCTCGAGGAAATTAAATGGTCTGTTACAACCCTGATCTATTTTTCCCAGCTCCTGCCTCTGCCATGTCTCCAAATAACATGATATTCTGTGTGCAATAAGGAAAACAGCTCTGGTGTCCTGGCCAAATTCTACTCTGAAATTACATTTTTCTCATCCAAGTTCCCTCTGATTCTTAATGAATGGTCACTTTCTTAACTAAGACTTTGTTTGCAGGACCCTTGAAGCTGTAAAATGCTCTTAAATGCTATCTATTGGTACTGTTATTATTTTAAACTGTTTTGTAGTGTTGATGCTCTGTTTGCAATTGTGTGTTTCACCTCAAACCTGATTGTCTTTACTTGAGAAAGAAGCATGTTTTTGGTTTGTTTGTAATCCTGTGGGATATAAGAAGGGTACGTGAGTGTAAATAGGTATTTATTACTATTTATTTATAACTGTCAGGGCACCTAATTAATGGACCTGAAACTGCTTTTTAAATCTTTGCATCTTTACATCAGGAGAATTGGATACTTCTAAGTCTGGGCTGTGCTTGAAGTGGTGATTTTGGTGTGCTGGGGGCAGCCTGAACGCTGACTGTACGCAGGAGGAAACGTTTCTTATATTCTTAAAGAAGGTTAGAAAGGCTGAAGAAATAGATTTCACACCAGCTGATTAGAAGTACTTTAATGGACTAATAAGAGAGCGCCAGCTTAAGAAACAGAGTTTCCTTTGTAGGTCCCTTTTTGCCAAACTACTGATCTGTGCCCAATGAGGGAGGGAGAATGTGAAATGCCTTGCATGGCTCGGAGCAGTCAGTCAGCTTGCTCATGTTCTGCTGAATGAATACTGGCTTTTAGATTAGTTTGAAGCTGTTCCTGTAACAGATTTTGTTCTTAAAAGTGTCATCTTAAGCATTGTGCCCTGGAGACCTTAACTCATTCTGAGGTGGGTTTTTATCACTGATGGCCAGGATCACTGCAGTGCTAAAAGTATGCTGGGGGGTGTAGTACTGGGCTTTCAGCTAAGCAGGGTGTCACCATCCCTAGCAATAAGGCTTGCTGCTGTCGCCTTGCAATGAGGAATAGAAATTGAAGGATTTAAGAACAGTCATTGCTTGGTTGTTGTTTTGTTGGTTTTTTTGTGTGTGTGTCCCTATTCCAAAATTGAAACTCTGGTATTAATTTTGGAAAAAAGAATTATTATATACAACCAGATAAAAGCCAGTAAGAGGTCAAATGATTTGTAGGTTGGGTTCTTAAAGTGCCTTAACTTTGTGAGTTTCCCTCAGAAGAAAACAGCTTCTACCTGACAACAGTCTGGTTTTGCAAATACTGGTCTACAAAAACCTGATGTATCACTGACATGCATATAAAGAATGGTTTATGAGATGTCTGATTCAAGGGGAAATTTGTTATATAAAAGCCCTTAACAAAATAAAAATTGTGAAGTGACTCTGATTGTCCAATGGCATTTGAGGAACTGATGTTTGCTGCTTTTACTCTCGCCAGTCTTAGAAGTCACACCTTCCTTGATCTTGTTGAAGCCTCCTTGACCCAAGGAGAAAGTGATTCTGGTTGGACTTTGACATGTCCTACAAGTACGTCTGAGCACGTTAGAGTCGGAAGCAGTACGATAAAATATCACTGCTCTTGTTGTCCAAGTAGCTTTTTTAAGACTTCAGGGAGGGATATAAAGAAACTAACTTGTAAAGGCCAAAGGGGAACGTTTTGTACCTGTTGACTCCACCTTTCCTTTTGTGACTAAAAAATGAAGGTCATCACTTGGGACAGGTATGTATAAATCTGCAGACAAACACAATTCTAGCTTATTTATATGGAGTTTCAGTATTTGTATTTAAAACAAAGAAAGAAAGAAACAAACAAACAAACACCAAAAATGCTTTGAATGAATCGGACCTGGACGTGCTTGAGAAATGGGCAGCCTCACCTGGTGAGTGGCAACCAATGCACAGCAGGGCGTGGGGCCAGGTGGGCTTTGAGATCCTTTCCAGTCCAAGCATTCCGTGCTCAAGCACAGTGCTGCTATCAGCTGCTGCTGAGCGCCAAAGCCTTTGCTCTTCAAAATACTTCTGGTCAAGTAAAATCATAGCTGCTAAGTAAGAACAGATAGGAGAAATATTCTGAGATACCTTAAAATTAAAGCTCTGTACCTTTAAGGTTCTTTATCTGGAATGTGATTAGTATCAAGAAGACAACTGCCACAAAGAGAGGTCACAACTTTCATTTAGTGGAGCCTTTTATAGTGAGAGATAAGGAACCTTTCTTGAATTTCCATGGCTCAGCACTGGTAACCTACGGTACATTTCAGGCAAGCCTTCTTCATTCCAGCTAGCAAAGATGTTTCTTTCAGAGGTAACTTCTTTTTAACTAATGCTGTAGGGGCACAGGGTTCAGTACAGCTTCTATGCATCTCGGAAGCTCTCAGTTGCCTGTTGGTGCTGCTTTCTGAAGGCTCTCTCCAGCTGGAAGGAGAACATTAGCTGGGCATTTCCCAGCAGGTTAATTAACTTGCTTCCCTGCCACAAAGAGCAAAGGAGCTCCCTGCCTGGATGACTCAATGAGGACCTGCAAAGGGCTATTGATTTTTGATGGGTTTCACTTATGTCTCCTCAAATCTAACTCTGAAAATGTTAATTAGTACTCCTTACCAGAACAGCTGAGAATTTAAGTTCCTTTGGAATGTGAGATTTAATACCAATAGAAAAGAGGGTCTGTGCAAGTCTTACACATATTAAGAACAACAACAACAACAAAAAAGAATGTTTCACATCGCTTAGCCATTCTGCTGTCCCATGACGTCCATTTCAACAAGTTTTGCTCAGGACTTGGACAGAATAATAAAAAGAGCAGGCAGCTGAGAGTATGCATTTCAATGCTTTGAGAAACCCTGCCACATCCGAAGTGTGCCATGCTGTGCAGAATGTTCCCAGCTCCAAGCTGCTGCAGCGCAGGGTATGAGATGTGCGTGCCAGGGCTTAGACTTCCACAGGACAGACGTCATTGCCTTCAGATAACTCCTGATACTAACTCTAGTGAGACGTAGCTAAACTTAGCAAGAGATTTAATCCTGAGAGAGGCCGTAGTTGCCCAATGGAAAAAGTAAAGTGTTTCATTTGCTGCTCTCAGCATTTCTTGCTGATTGACAGGTTTCCCTTTTCTTTTGCAGACAGAAGCCAAACCAGCGTCTACAGCTTTCAGCATTGCAAATTAGCTCTACAGACAGGGAAAGCTCTACTGCTCTTAAAGCCTTTGTAGAAAAGAAATAATAATAATGAAAAAAAAAACATAGGAAATGTAGATTATTATTATTAACAGTAAAGGACTTGAGAGATCAAAGGAGAAAACTTCTACGTAAAGATCTTGTGTGAAAAAGGGCAAGGCCAACAGAGGGCCAAGCTGGAGGGACTTGTGTTCGTGTTCTTCTGTAAGGAAAAGCTAATAAAATGGGTTTGGATTTCAACAGAAACCAGAAGTGCAGCCCTCCCTCGGTAGGCACACACAAAACTACTCCCAGCTGAGTTCAGTCCTGCCTGCGTGCTCCATGCAGACAGCAGCCCGAGGGGCCGTGGGGGATGGCAGCTCACCAACACTGAGAAAACAAGTTCCCATCCCCAGCCTGCACTGCCACTGTGACTCACAGCTGCTACTCACCTCACCTCTGAGGCGACATTTCTGACAAAGAAGAGAAGTTTATCACTCTGATAGTGTTAAGATCAACATTGAAGAACAGCTTTGAGTCTGGCCTCTCGTTCACACGTGCCCAGCATTTGCATTTTTCACACATTCTCCAAGGAAGAAGTACCACTAAGGGTTTCTTGACACTTATCTTTTCCTTTATGTTCTGAAAGAGAATGCAGGGAGGATTTTTAGAGAGCCTGCAACTGAAATCCTTTAGGAAGAATCAGTATGAGATAGTGATTTCATCTTACCTTTAGGATACAGGTAAGCTGCAGACGTGGAATGCAGGAAAACAGGTCTGATATGTTTAGAGGCTTAAATGTTTTTATAGCCTAAGGAAATTCACAATGGCCCTGGAAAAGATTTGGTTGGTTGATTTCGTTTGGTTTTGATTTGCAAATTGCAGAAACTCCCTGCTCACCAGAAAGTAACGCTGCATTCCTACAGCAAGCAAGCTGTTTCTCCTCCAATTAGCCCAGTCCTCGATTCTTCTCAGTGATGCTGGCAATCTCGACTTCCCAAAAATGTCTGCTAACCGGGGACTTCTGCTCCAACTGTAACCAACTGCTTGAATCAGTGGATTTGTTGGTGGCGAGGACTGCTGTCATCAATACTACGACAGGTACGTGCAGCACGACGTACAAACTGCACATTGCAGAGTGCTGCCAAGGCTCATCCCAAGGCTCCAGTGTTGTTTTGATGTTGATAGAACAAAAGCATTATTACATATTTCTCTGTCGCTATCTTCCAGTCTTGGTTTGCCTGGATGGCACTGATCACCCTCATCCTCCAGACTGTGTCTGCTGTCACCTCTCCAGCATGGTATATTTTAAGCAACCTTAATGGAGCTGACATTTTCCTCCATTACATCGCTGGTTTTGATCACAGAAGCTTGAAGAATAGTCTAAAAATGCACTTCAGACTCCTGAAGTTGACAGTTTAGATTGAGACTGATGATGGCTAAACCCAGATGAAGGCTTTCTGTAATGTTAGTTTCTTGCAATAAGAGGCTTCATCTCCCTGTTTGATTTATGACAGATTAAGATGTTGGTTAATCTCTTCTTACTTGATTAATCTTCACAGACATCCAGCCAAGTACTGTGTCCAAAAGGAGCCTGTTACATAAACACACATTACCAATTTTTCTTTAATTATTACTCTGTATGCCAGAGGGATACAGAGGGGATACAGACAGGGATAGACAGCAGCCTCTTCAGTCTGACTTCAAGAGAAACCGATGAACTCAGCTCCTTGGGAGGTCTATTTTCTTATCTCTGCCTGCACCATTTGACAAAGGGAAACTGTGAAAGGGAATAGCCATGATCCTGGGTGTTAAGAAACTTCCTTTAAATACCTGAGTGCCTAAACTCTCTATGAAACAAGTAGTGGTACATTCTCACCACTAAATAAAATCTCTAAAAAAATCTAAAATACAGAGAGAATTCCTAGAACAGAGAAAGGCAGCCAACAAAGGCACCTCAGCTGTGTACAGCACCTGGTATGGAGCACATCTGCCCTCAGGAAAGACCCTGGGGATTCTACCAGGTGACAAGCACCAGTTGCTATAGAGATAGCAGTCCTCTCCAAATACAGAGAGATGCTCCAGAATGCATCTCAGTGCAGTCAACCACTTCCTACTGCTCCTGTCAAAATAGCTGAAATTTCCCCAAGATTTCCAGTGAGAAAAAAAAAAAAAAAAAAAAGGGACAAGACAGCTGTCTGGAGACAGGCACTGCTACTGTATGCATTGCTATCAATCACCTCCCGACTAAAGAGCAGCCTCAACTGGGAACTCAGCAGGTCCAGAGGGCAGCATGAGCTTCGGCTCAGACACACATGAAGATCTGCTCCATGAAAAGATGGTTCCTTTTCCTCACCAGCCCTCCAGCCTGACCCGAGTCTTTGTGAGCTCAGATTTTTCAGGTAAATAAGCTGAAATGTCCTGAAGTTGCTAAATGCACCAGGTGCTCTCTCCGTGAATTTGCAAGCTGTTACACTGTGGTGACACTGCTGTGCTCAGGAGCAAAGCCTGTAGCTTCATTTGTGAGCTGTACTTCACATACAGCTTTATTCTGTCACAGAGAGAGCAGCTTGAACACTAATTAGAAAAGCAGGTTTTGCAGCACTGCTCTTCTGTCTTCTCAGAATTCACACTCCTTCCTCAGTCCTGTCACTCCATTATTTTCATGCACATTCTACACTGTAGCCCTCTCTATCTTATTGAAGGACCTGGCTGGGCAGGGCCAGTTCAGATCATTATGAACTGTACATCACATAAAACACAACGACGGGAGCTCTCAGGACCACCACACTCATGTTCTAAAATGATTTTCATCTCTGCCCTCTTTGGACAAGTCTAATAGACACAGAAGTGCTGGCCAGGCTGCTTTTCTTTGTGCCTTCTTACTTGGAAGCGATTGGGAAGCTGTGCCAGCAGTACCTCAGCTGGGTCAGCATCTGTCCCTACCCCTTCTCATTCAGTTGTGTGGATTTCTCCACCTTCCTGGGCAGCCCCTCCACACAAGGCTCACTGAATTCCTCAAAGGTAGGATTAGCCCTGATGATGGCTACAGCCCAAGAAAACATATAATCATCCGTTATGAACAAGATCCAAATAATAGTAGTACAAATAAATAGAGCAGGGAGACAGAATGTATTTCTCTAGAAATACCATTTTGCCCATGAGTTTACACAGGCAGAATAAAGGCCTATTTGCCTTTGTGCTCGGTCATGCACCAGTCCCACTTGCAATTGCTTCAACAAATGAGAATAGAGAAAGTGGGTCATTTTGTCGCCAGGACAACAAAAGCACACACTGACCTAGATATGTCTGAGGGAACCTAATCTTGCTGTTGGCACAGACTAAGGAGTTCAGGCAGTGTTGGGCGTTTCCAGTTGGGGAAGCACAGCATATTAACAATCTCAAATTGTTTCTTTTTTTGTCTGCAGCATCAGGAACAGATTTCCCTCTTTGTGTCTCGCAGCAGGCATCACAGTGATGGCACTTAGTTCTGTTTACCAGCTGCTGGTGGCAGGTTCCCAGCATGGCTCAATGCTAGTCTGGAACATGGAAGTTATTGAGATGCTGCACACCCTCCCTGGGCACTCTGGTGAGCATTCTTCATTTTTTATGGTCGGAGAGCTTCTTTCACATCTGAAAAGAGCTTCAACAGCTTGGCTATTACCTCCTAGCCATCAGCATCCTGCCAATCGCTGAAAGCACCGAGAATCCCTTGGTTTGTTAATCCTCCTCTCTTAATTTATAGCTGAGGTGAGGTGTGTGAAAGCATTTGGAAAAGGAACCTGCGCTGTCTCGGCTGCCGTGAATCACAATCTGTGCATGTGGAGTTTGATTTTCAGCAGAGTAAAGTTCATTATCCAAGACAAACATATTGAACAGCAGCCCTCCCACCACCTTTACGTGGATGAGTGGCACATGACTGTGTATTCTTCTGCAGACACAAAGGTACGGCCCTTCTTTAAATGTGCTGAAGGAACAAGTACTTTAGGAGCTACAGCCACAATAACGGAGGTTGTGCACACAAAAGGTAGCTTAGTCCTCGCTACTCCTGTCTCTTCTACCACCTCTTCATTAGGTCAATGCTTAGCACCTGGAGACAGCAGCTCATGAAAGAAAGCAAGTGGGTCGAGTGTCTCCAGATGCTTCACACATTCCTTCTAAAATAACCCTGAGCAACTGCCCAATATTTGCCTTGCAGTGTTAGGACCAACATATTTTTCTTCGGCTTTGCTTATGTCTCAGTACAAATTAGTCAAGCTATATTGTTTCACCTCTTTAATAGGACTACATTGGTAGGCAAGTATGATGGTATTAACAGTAAATTACTGCCCTAAGCTGTCAGGAGGAGCCAATCGACAGGATTTATGGCACTCCAAGTCCAAGGTCTCTATGAGACATCATCTATGGTGTCCTGAGGAGAAACAGAGAGCACGGCTTATCAGTTCCCCTCTCCCTCTCACGTAGCAGCAGCGATCCAATTCAGAGTTCCATTGTCTGCTGAGAAGGGAAGCAGAGGAAGTGCCTTAAGGGAAGCCCAAAGCCGGGGACGCGCTTCAAGCCCTTTGCTCTGTGCCTGGCCCCGCAGGCGGTGCAGTGCGTGCACATCTCGGGGCTGGGTCACAGCATCTGTGAGAGGTTCTGCTGACCCTCAGAGCCACTCCTCAGCACTGAGTGCAGAGAGAGGGACGGGAAGAACCGCAGCACACAGCAGTGTGACCACGGCAACCCTTCTGGAAGCCTGGTTTGTACCAGCAAGCTGTCCCACGGCTGTAAAATAAACGGCACACACGGCCGCTGCCGTCCCGTCCTGCCTCAGAACGACGCGCTTCATCCACAACACCCGCAGGTCCCGCACTGCGCCGCTGCCACGTACCGCAGAACGAGCGCGTAAAAAACAGCCAAAACGAATAAAAACGGCGCTTGAGCCAAAATGCCACAGCGGGCGCCGGAGCCCCGTTCGCGCCCTGTAATCGCAGCCCAACACGAGCGGCCACCGCGAGGGCCTCAGCCTCCCGTCCCCGACGTTTCCCGCCGATCCCCGGCGCGGTGCCGCACCGCTCAGCCCCCGCAGCCCCGTCCGTCGCTCGGCCCCATTCGGGGCTCA